TAGCATACCTAAAGTACATGAAAATTAAGGAATAACTTGAGTTATTATAAAAACAATTTGATAATTTATCAGGTTACAAGGTTATATTTTGACATACCACAATAAGGAAGTCTTTACGGAACTTCACGTACATATTTCTACATTAATAGCTTAAATATGATTATAAATTGAATTAATTAAATAATATTTATGTTATATTTATTATATAACATTATATTATATTTATTATATGTTATATTTATTTATTTTTATGTTATATTTCTGTTTTTGCATCGCCTATAGCATAATAGCTACAAAATAATATTAATTTTTACTGTTTTTAGTTAACAAAATAATCATAAATTCTGATGAAAATACAACTTAAAAAAATCTCATAAAAAAGCTGTCCGATAAATAAGGTACAAAAGTATACTGAATAATGAAAAATTAATTTATTACTTAAGAACTTTTACACGATAGTTAAGAAATATTTTACTGTTTGTCTACATAATCACCATTCAAATGTATGCATTTTCCCAACAATGGAATGACTTGAAAATGCCACCTCAGAAAACACATTTTCCATCTAAGTATCCAATAACTGCATTCATAGCCTCCTCCTCATTTTGAAAATGAGTTCCTCCTAAGGGCTTATTTAACAGACAAAGCAAAAAAATATCTGAAGGTACCAGATCAGGACTATATGGTGGATGTTGCAATAATTCCCACTTGTATTTTTTCCAGCCAAGCTTTGGATTTTCCCATTGAATATGATTTTGCATTGTCATGTACCTATAGACATGTAAGTTACTCCGTTGTTAGAAAAAATGCATCAACATGAAAAGTGACTATGTAAAAAAATAGTAAAATATAACATATTTATCGTGTAAAAGATTTAAAGTAATAAATTATAGTAAATAAAAAGTAACAAATGTCAGCTTTAATTTATTTTCTATGCCATTTATATACATAAATACTTATTATATACCAGAATATTGAAGACTTTCATGAAACCGAAATTTTGGTATCTCGATATTTATGTAAACAGCACTTGCCCAACATTACTTTTTATGATTTTTTTTTTTCTATTAATCGTACACATCTGACTAATCGTTTCGAATACAATTAATCGGATTTTCAAAGTTTAGATTTAATTCCACATTTTAGGATTGTGATTTTATTCAATCATTAAATTAATTTCTGATTTATACGTCATCGTTACGTTAGTAACATCACTAGCTTATTTTTCTAGTGTAAAATTAAAGAATTTAAATAAAATAGAAGTTAATTTTTTATTGCATGTAAAAATATAGATTTAGTTCTAATTTTGGTTTTTATGGTTTCTTTTGTTTTTGAATTTTTTTAAAATTTGGTTTTTTATGATTTATGTGGTTTTATCCTTATTATAATTATTTTAATATAATTTACTAAATGTGTTAAAAATACGGATATAATATGGTAAAATTATATGCTTCTCTTGATTATATGGATGTCTATATTTGAAGTTATAGCTTTTGTGATTTTTTTAAATTTTTAAAATACTATTATGTTTCATCGCAACACACGAAATATCTATGAACAGTCATTATAATATTTGTATGGACACTTCTTTTTAAAAGCTAAACACAACTTTATATAATAAAAAGCGATAGAAATTACTTTTGTTTAGCGTCTGGCTAATTAATTAAATCATTTTTATCTCATCTAAGCTTTTAATGTTTATAAACATAATCCCATTTCCAAATAAACAGTGTATATAACTTTAAACTTCGGCAAATATTCCTCTTAAACTGTATATCAATTTTAGGATTTTTAAATATGATATTAATAATAATGATCAGGAAACAACTTTAAGAGGTTACTTGACTGTATTGATATATAAAAATACTAAAATAGTAAAAAAAAAGATATGTTCGTAAAGATTATTCTATTCGACCAACGGATTGCTTTTCCGGTTACTTGTGTCCAAATGAAAGAAAAATTTAATTTTTTTTTTTTAGTAAAAATAAATATAGTATAAACCGTTTATAATAACGTTCAAGGGACCAAAGAAAATAATTCATAATAACCGGTTATCATTAAAACCAAAATGACGAAAAAAAAATTGTAACTTCAATACATATTATTATTATTATTTATTTATGCAATTTATAATATAGAAAAAAAGTAAAGATAGAAATATTTATTTGTGTACATACATATTTAAATTAATTAGTTCAATTATTATTTAAAGAAATCTGTTATTTTAGATTGAATTTTGTTAGTATAAAAATCACGCTCTATTTTTTTTTCTAATTCTTCAAAATTTATCTTTGGACTTATTCAGAGTCATATAATTTGCTAACATCTTAGCTGCATTGAACACTGCATTAATAGATAAATCAGCTTCTTCATCTGCATTGTCGTCTTCTTCAGGTTCTTCGGGTTGGTTAATCAATGAAGTTGTTCAAAAGACTTGAATCAATCAAGTTCTTGATCATTTAATGGTTCTGAAGTTAGCACATAATTATCAAAGTTAACATATTCATTTATGTTTGGGAAACTTATATCTTCTTGTTCTCCTTGGACAGTTTTTTGTAGTATTGTATTATTGAAACCAGTGTGACGAAAATAATTTCGAATTGTAATATCTGATACTTTTTCCCAAGCTTTAAAAATCATTAATATAGCATCTAATACGCTGATATTCGTTTCAATTTTGTTTTCAATATTATTGATCATATTTAGCACCAAACTTTTTCGAAAATAAGTTTTCATAAATTTTATTACGCCTTAGTCCATTAGTTGAAAAATGTATGTACAATTACTGGGTAATTACTGGCTAAATCTTTGAATCCAACCAGTCGAACCATTAAAATTATGCTTACCAAGGCCTTCAGCTAATTCATTGACTTTCTGTTGAAGAATTTGTCCATTAATTGGAATACATAGATTTCTTTGATTTTTAAACCATTGTAATAAAACATTATCTAAATCTGTATGTGTACAATTTCTAAGTTTCTCAACTGATAATTTTTCATTTTGAAACTCTTGTTCGATTTTGTCTCGAGCTTTCCATATGTTGGAAATTTTAGAGTGATCTACGTCTAACTCATTAGCTATGTCGGAATTTATTTCACCTTTTTTTAAACGAAAAATGGCATTTACCTTTTCTTCAATGGCAAATTGCTTTCGTTTGCTCATTTTACAATTTCACAATACAATTTAACACACGAACACAAAACACATTTAACCGCACGACGATTACCAGTACACTGACGATAAAATAAAATAAAATAAAACTGACGACTAAACAACGATGAAATAATGACGGTATTATCAATATTGTAATAGTACCTTCGATAAAGTAAAGTCATTATAGATAAAATATTTTTCAAATACAACCAAAAGTAACCGTCACAACATCCGTATAGTCATTATATAGATGTCATAATAAGTGATACACATTAGTACATACAACATAGGAGTTTTGCCGGGACCTTTATTATAAGGTCATTACACCCAATATGTCACTACAACTGGTGTGATTATAAACGGTTTCTACTGTATTACCTAGATGTGTTTCGAAGTGAACGATGTATTATTAATATTAATAATCAATTGTTAATAAATTTATTATGTTGATCATAATAATTGTTTGAAATCACGCAAAGGTTGCAGTTTAGAATTATGAGATACATTATAACGTTTATAACTGACAAATATTGATATTTTCCAATCGCAACAACTTTTTAAGTGCGTAACGAATATGGCATAGAAATAATTCGAAACCCTACATTGGTTCAAAGATCATCGGTATATTCCCAACAACTAATAATATCACAGCAGCGAGATCTATACCGTTTCCACATCACGAATGGTTTTCGTCAATCGATTTCCAAGCGGTTTGTCGTCGAAACGGTAGTTTGCATTTACCTCTAGATAGCGCTACATTATTCCAAGCTTTCAATTAGTCTTTATTACGGGTAATGGTGTACAACGCGAGATTTCCATCATAGATAGCGTTATGTGTACATGTACCGTTTTAGTAAAGTACAAAACTCGGTCTTGCTAAATTTATAATAGTAATATAGTTTAAAATAATTCTTAAGAACTGGAAAATAAGGAGAAAAGTAAGTTATTAAAATAAAGTTGTACATTTCTATTTTATTTATTAAATGAAACAAAAGATCTCTTGGTTTAAATGAAGTTAGTAAATTTGCACTATAAGCTTAGTGAACCACAATTTTCTTTTTAATAATAGTTAAATTTTGATTAAATACGATTGGTACTTTGGATTAATATTTTTCTCAATAGTTGATTAACGTAAAAAGAAAACATACGGAATAACTTAAAAGTAATAAATTGAATGTAGTACAGAAACCTTTTATTTTCAAGAAAATTTCACTTTTTTCATTCCATCGAATATTTTCGTTTAAATATACTACTGTATGGAACCATCGATAGAATTTTTAATCAAAATAACAATGAGTACAAAAAAAACGTCCAAATAAAATCAAACGCACAGATCAAACCATTGGACCTAAATTTTTATCAACTAAACTTAAATAAGGAGAAGAACAAATCTTCTGGTATTTTTAACATTTTTTTTTTTCAAAATGTTGTTACTATGGATTAAACGTCGATATGTATATACACTTTAAAAGCAAACAGTCATACAACATTTTCGAAAAAACGTCTAAGGTTTCGTTAACATGTTTTCAACTACATTATTAAAGTACATTGAAATATACTTTCTGCAAATCTTAGTATACCTAAGATTTTTTCTTAGCCTTTATATTATAATAATACATATCTCAAGTGATACTCATAAAAACATAAAACGTTACATTTTTATACAGTGTCACCAACCGTATAATTAATTAGTTATTAAAATTTAATAACATTACCAATTTTTTTCTAATCAACTCAAATGACATATATTATAACGTTGACTAGACAATAGGTATGCTATTTAAGGAATAAGTATCAAAGGTTAATAAATAATTACGTTCTTTCGATTTCTTAATCAAGTATTATTTACGGTGATATTTAATCAAAAACAAATACAATCAAAAATAGATTTATAACACATTACAGTATATTTATATTAGAATAAATAAACGCAATAACTACAAACACGACGTAACATTCGATTATTCGAACTTTAGGAATAAAAATATATTACGTATATATTCTAGTGAACAAGATAATAATGTTTTTCATGACTATAAATAATGATCTGCTGGACTCAACGATTCGAATAAGAAAAGAAAATCGTTTTACTTTTGAAGAAGTCAACAGCATACCGTATTAGGAACGCATTAGGCAGCGTCGTAGTGGGTAACACAGTCCATCGAGAGGGTAGTTGTTTTTTCGTCGGATCATTTGGTGCCGTTCGGTTGATAGTGCAACTGCGGCGGCTGCGGTGACGACGCAATCGAATTGGAGTCGTCGAAAACAGCACCGGCGATCAGTTTCGGGTACAGGGTACCGTCGACGAACGCGTTGCTACGGGAACTGCCTTGGATGGTGTTGGATTCGCTGTACGTGTTCGCGGATACCGGGTTCGAGCTGCCGTAGACGTTGGCGAGAACGGGAACAGTATTATCGGGACCGGCGCCGGCGGGCGAAGGGCTACTATCGGGAGCGGAAGCCTCAGCGGGATACGACTTTTCGGGGACGACTACGATGGGGCTCATGGGAAGTCTGGGCGCGTTCTTCGGACCGTGAGCGTCGGTCAACCCCGCGGGCAAGCGGAATGACTCGCTCGGCAGCGTGTACGATACGCTCGGTGTGGGGTACGCGTCGGGACCGAGACCGCGTGGCGTTGTCGGATAGGACTTGTGAACGGATGGATCGAAGGCCGGAGGACGGGAAAAAGCTCCATCACCGTGCGGTAAGGAGGAGGCGACGGCTGGGTCGGTCGAGAACGAGGACGGCTGCGGGGAAGGGACGTTGGCGGCTGAGTAGAAGGACGAGTCTGAGACCGGCACATTGATGTACGGCGGTGGTCTCAGTTCCAAGGCCAAATTGGGTACGGGTTCGGTACCAGAATCGGACCCGGGCGAAGGCGGTGCTGACGTCGCGATTGAATCGCCACCACCCGTCCGAATCGGCTGCGGTTCCTGCTGCGGTCCGTGGCCCGCGGAAGAAATGATACCGAAAATGGTACCCGACGCCGTGCCGACCTGATTGTAATGCGGACGTGGTTGCTGTTCGTCTGAACCCTTCGGCGGCGCGGTGGTCGCGATCGGCGTGACGGACTGCGTGGACGCGTCGTTCGTCTGTGGGACCGGCCGGACGTGGGTCTGTCCCACAGTGACAGACTCGTCAGCCGGTCGCGCTCTCGGGACCGGGTCGAACCGAAGCCCCTCCGCAGCCAAGGTTCGTAACTGCTGCAGATCGTTACTGGCGGCGGTCGGGTACGGTTGCGGCGCCGGCACGGCCAAGGGATATCCTGCGGATGCCACGTCGAACCCGAACCCGGGGAACCGGGGATGGCCGGACAGAGGTGCCAGCAGGAACTGAAACTGGAGCCCGCCGAGGTCGAAACCCGCGTCCGGGTAGCCGGTCACGGGCAGCGCAACGACGCCGGGATTGAACGCTCCAAAACCGGCCGGACCAAAGTGCGGTTGCGGTGACAATGGAACGGACGGCGACGACTTGAAGACCGCGTTGAAGCCCTCGGCGGGCCCTGGAGGACCCGGAATGAATGCGCTTCGTTGGCCCCGCGGCACGTACGCACCCTGAGTCAACGACAGCCAGACGACGCACAGCTGCAGTATTACGGTCTAGAAACAAAAATCGAATGTTAACGCATTCAATACGGTACGAGTGTAACAGCCGGGACAATACAACGCGCTGCATAATCGTACGGCGCGTAACAATATTTATCGCGTAAAACCCTACTAACTTTGGCGATTTTCATTGTTTTATTTTCGCGACATAACGTGTACAATCGTACACCTTGTATTAAGAATCCGCATTCAGGACTAGACATTCGAATTTCGGTTCGAAGCGATTGAAAAAAAAAATAAATAAATCGCAAAATATTATCTGCGCGTAAAATTAATTAGTGTTCAAATAATTCCCTTGTATTCATATTGATACACCGACAAACGTATTATCGTTTCCGTTACAATACTAATAACGTTAGTGGTCTCGTTTCGAACCGGGAAAGTTCGTTCGTATATACTATGATACCATGATATTCGAGGCATTTTAAATTGCGTATAAAGGTACAAAATAGATAGGTAGTATGGAGCTCGGTTCTGTTATAACTGTAACTAGCCTATAAAATATTCACCGGACTATATCAGTTGCGACTTTTTCGAAATTCGTTTCAATTTTCATATAAATTATTATTTTGTTTAACATAAATTACACGTGTCTACCTATGCCATCTTTACTGCACTTTTTTCCCGATCAAAGAACTAAAATAAAATAAGAAATGAACGGACTTCTTTTAATAATACAATTATTTACTTACGTAATAAACGATAAGCATTTAGAATATTATCGAATTATCTATTTAAATAAAATTTATAAATTAGAAATGTAAATTAGAAAGACTATGTATTATGCGTAAACTACTGTTACAATATAATTGTGAAAGTACGACGAAACGTAACATATTACGCAAAAAATGGTTTTTATGCGTCTTTTATAAATATAGTACTTTTATAAAATAAAAATTAATTAGTACTGAATACATACGTTTGAACAAGTTTAAATTCCAATATTTTACTATCATTATTTAAATATGAACATGGAAATATCGCATCAACCTAACCTGACGGCATAAACGACGATTAGATTATTGGTAGATATTATGAATGATTTAGTCAACGTGTTTGTTATCATAGAAAAACGAATAATTAATAGTTCTAGAGTGCACTGTTCAGGGGGTTCAGAATCGTTTTTAACATAGTCCACACGAACGTTACGTCGAGTGAAAAAATAATAATTATTTCGAAGCAAGACAAGAAATACTTTGGAAAAATTCCGTTCAACGCGATCGTGTGCGCGTGTCGTGTATAACTTTTGGCGATCTAGGACAAATGGACGTAGCCGTTTGGACGTGGCCGTTTGGACGTGGGAACAAATGGACGTCAAAAATAAAATAAATATATATATAAATCAGTAAACAAAATAAATAAGTTATTTATATGTATTATAATATGTACATTTTAATGTCAAAAATATTCATTCAAAAAACTTCACCATCGCGATTTGAATTAATTATTGACATCTTACATGTACACTTGAATGCAATTTGTACACGACTAACACAGTTATAGATGTGTATTGTCGTGTCTCGTGTATCACCATGTTTCGATAAAGTGTGATAATTATTACAAGTTGTAAATACCAATAAGTTATATATATATATATATATATATATATATTGATATAAAAGGAACCTATTGCCAAAACGATAAAATTCCATAAGGTTTGATATTATGATACGATACCATTAGTTAAATTATGAACATAAAATATCAATGATTTTATAACTTATAGATACATATATTTTTTTTTTTTGACGTCCATTTGTCCCTATTCGAACTTCTAGAATGTCCTGTCACCAGTACGAATGCGCGGAATCAATATTGATCGTCGATAAAGCGTTTAAAATTTACCTTATTTATCATCGTGAGCGCAGCTGTATATGGGTATTGCACGTCCGTTCCCTCGAATCCGCGTAGTATTATAATATTCTATAACTGACGTCCCGGCCGGATCGCGTCCGCGGTTTTTATATCCAGTATTCGGCGGACATTCCGGTCATCCCCCTTTCCGTTGAAAGCAGTCGTCGACGCAGCCCCCGACACGGTTTTGTCGATTACGACTTTCACCGAATCCAAACCGAAGAAGCAGTGCATTCCGGTTATCTACGAACGGACGGGATCGACAAATACGGTAGTAGTCGTCATCGTCGTAACACGTCACCGGGCACACGGATAAGATCCGGAAGTTCGTGCACTCGCATAAGTAACACGCAAAAATTTTACTAGATAAAATACGTACTCGAATCATGACCAGACAACAGCTTAAAAATAAAATATAATTGTATTTTACTACATGATTATGATTTGTAAACATAGTGTACATTCCATTACGATTGAAATTCATTTAACTCGGGAGTTGAGTTTTTGCTGTACTGCACAAACGACATCGAAAAACGTTAAACTTAAAATGGTAGGCAGTAGATTTTGTACAAAATTGAAATTATATTAAGATTTAGACAGGACCTTAGTCGACTAATTTAATCTATTCATATTAGTTGATTGTGCACAATGTATTTGAATAATTAATCGACTAATATAAATTATTTAAAAATAGTTGGTTAGGCAGATTTTAGTCGAATAGTTAGTCAGTAGTACATGATAAAAACATACTTATAGTCGGTAATAATAAATAGTCGCTTTTACCCATCACTAATGTCAGCCGTTGACAGTGCTTGTAATACCGCGTTGTGAGGTATGTTCCGGGTACAAAATTTAGTTTTTCATGTGATTCAAAGCCTTTGTTGTACAACCATTTCCGGAACGTATAATGAAATATATATTCTGAGTCCTAAATCGAACGAATGCAAAACATGATGCTAATATTCTCTTAAAAGTTGAAAATATTCTTTCGATATTCTTTAAAAATTATAATAAAATATGCTTTTATATGCAAAAGAATACAGTAAATCATGAAAAAACTGATACGAATATGTGTATAGTAAAAAATAATACCGTTTAAAAATATAACATTAACTTGGGTAATATTTTATTTGTTTATTTAAATTAGATTAATAACGTTATTTTAATCAAGAAAATTTTTAAAAAAAGCTACCAACAATACTTTGTGCCATATGCTTTGTTATCATACTGGTATGATGGTCTGTTAAAATGTTTTTATACGTATGTACCTATACTAAAAAAATGTTCGACATCAAATGAAGTCACCGGAGAATGTTACAAATCAGTTATCATAACCATCGGAAAATTAACTATAATTTATACTTCATTAATTTCATTCAATATTTTTACTAGGTTTTTCAACATTTAATATCAAAATTATCAAACATACAATTTATTATATTAACGCCACTGCAACACAAAATATCGAAAATCTATAAAATGAACGGATATTTTGTCTGTTATCTTGAAATATTCTCAAATATACGAAAAAAAAAACTTTTGCCATTCATTTATACGTTTTATAATTTATAAAGATTTCGAACCTCCGTGATTGCATAGAATCATAAAAAAAAAATTATGCAAAAACATAGAGACCTCTAATTATAACATTTTCAGGGTTTTCGTATGCTTATCAAACGTTTCAGGCGAACCTGTCCGGATGTTTATTGCACTATATTTTTTCGTCTTTGGTACACGTTCCCCAAGCAGTTAACTGATTGACCGGGACTAAATCAACATACTAATTAAAAGATATCACAGCACCAAAAACGAGTTTGCTTAGATTTAAAGTATGTTATGATCTAAGAAATATGCTATGGATCCCACACTTTCACACTAATTATTCAATGAGATACAGGCGTTTAAAAAATGCATGTTATTTTTTTTATGAAATTGGAATGATTATAATTTTGATATACTTTCCATTTTTTTTTTAATAGAAAATGATTATTGTAAATTTTGTAAAATTTGATATCAGTGACACTGCGCGACAATATTACGTGATTTGTAAATTCAATAATTTTACTTAATTATAATTTATAAAAGTGTATATAGTCTTATACGTAAGTTAAAAGTGTATACAATAACAAGGTATACTAATTTTTAAATCACACCAATTACTTAAACATATAAATATATACCAAAGAAAAAAAATTCTGAAATACTATCGTAATTTATTAAAATTTTTGTGTAAATCAAACCACTTTTAGACGTAAAACATTGACGTCATGGAGCCGACAAGTGAACAGCTGTCAATGTCATTTTTTGAACTTTAGATTTTTACCAAATTATTTTTCATTGCTTTGTCTACACTAATTCATCAATAAACTAAAAATTAAAAAAAAATAATCAGTGATGTGATGTCCTTTGTCATAGTACCGATTCAACCGTCGAATTTTCTTACTGCGTGTTGTAGAACAATAATCAAAATTTAAAGTAGAATAGAAATACGAATTTCGTGCGATTTTGTGCCCTTTTGTGATTCATGCCCCTTGCTGCGCCACTGACGCGGACGAGAACACGCGCGATGTTTCGGTTACGCGGACAATAACTACATAACACGCTTCCGGAGGCGATGTTGACTGCGTTCCAAAACGCGTTCGCGTTTCAACAATAATGTACGCCTAGAGGACGAACAGTATAGTTAACGACGACGACTGCTAAACTATCTTGGGCGACCCGTTTATGGGAATTTGTAATCGTAATCTGCGCGGATGTTACGTAAACAACAGATGCACCTATCGGTGGTGTACAGCACGCGCGCACTTGGCTCGGTGTTTTACGTTGTTCGCATTATTTCCATTTTTTTTTTCTTTTCTTCTCTCCGTTCTTCCTCTATGGCCGTCTCGCGTGCCTACTTAATATTCACCGTTTAACCCACTGCCGGCACCGGTTACGGTTTCACGTGCGCACAAGAGTTCTTTGTATACCGTACACGACCGCGAGTGGTCACGTATGTGCGCGCTCTGACAAGTTCGAAGCGCACTCGAACGATTGATCTCCGTCCGCGATTCTCGCCGGAACGAGGGATTTACCGTATTATGTGGTTTATTAGTAATCAAAAGTGAACCGATCCTAGAACCGACAGTTAGTTTCGACCGAAACTGTCGATATTTGATGCACGGTATCAGTTTTTTTTTTCGAAACCGATATTTGAACAGATACTGAAAAAAAAGAACCACCAGCTTAAAATTATGTTTTATCACCACAAAATATGGACAGTAAAAATAATGCATTACTGTCAATTACATTTCTCTCAAAAAATATTATTAACTATACATACTGAAATCTATAATTGTTTATTTTTTAATTTAAATTTTTATATTTTGTTAAATCTGTTATGATTAATATAATTAATTATTAGTTACTATTGTTTCAATTAATTTGTGAAACTTAAAATGAGCCTTGTTATTCGTTATTATTTTTAATTATTATTTTATTTTTTTGTTATAAATGCAAAGGAAAATTACTAATTGATATTATTTTCTATTTTAATTTTTGTTTAATCCCATTTCAGATAAAAAATAAATAATTATAAAATAGCTATAAAAATACTAGCAATTTTTGATTATTAATTTGTCCGTGTTTTTTACGTTGTTTATTCTATAGATACTTGTTTAATACTATGTCTAAATATTATTAATAGTTTATATGCAAATAAAACTACGTCCTTGCAAATATATTATAATAAAATAAGAAACGGATATCGTATTAGTAGTATTGAATATTTTGTACGATTAAATAAAAATCTATTACGAAACACATAAATATTTTCACTTTCGTTTACATGTAATATACATAATTCATTAAGATTTCAGTTAGAAAAAAAACGATTTAACCATACACTCAAGAGCTATGTCGTTTAATTTAAAATTAGATACCTATGCCATATATATTGATTTCTGTTTTATCGTTTCGACAAAATGTAACAAATCATATACAGTGTATGCGTACATGCAATCTAATATGTTGGAAACGACAGTCTACGTAATGTGCAATAAAAACGACATTAAATTATCCACTTTAGTAAACCTATTTTACGAGAGCTGCAGCAGTAAAACTAACAGTTGACTATGTTAAAACACGTTTCCGTATTTGATCGGCGGCTCCGTATAGAACGAACCGTCGTAGAACCATAACATTAATACGTAATGTTATTTTTAAGTAACAAAAAATTACGAAAATACGTTAATTTCGGTTGTTGATTATTATTTTTCAGCAAACCCGAGCGTATTATTAGCCATACTTAAAATGTTACAATTTCGATTGCTTTCGCGCTTTACGAAATGTAAACGTGTTTTCTGATGAAACACGGATAAGTCGTATTGTTTTATTACGCTCGTTTACCAAATGGAATTAAAACTATTTTGTTTACGAATGGAACAATTTATCAAATCCAACTGATGCGTACTTTCGTGAAAACTTCGAGATTGTGCAGCAGTCAAAGACGGTACTCGTATAACATAACTTGTAAATATTATTTATTACATATTTCATATATATTTCATAACATTCATATATTTTTCCCTTGACCATCGTCGTTTCCCAAGCATTCGATCTGGTATGATGGACTTTAGTACAAACTTAAACCTTTAGCTTGCGAGTGACGTAATATAAATAAAAAATAAAAACTGATACCATTTATGATATTGTATTTTGAAGAAAAAAAATAACGTACTTCGCACATGAGATATTGTTCTACGTTAATAATACGAACATTAGGTAGTAACAGAAATAATCGTTCGGATTTTTTTCTTCTTCAGGTTTGACATAAACTCAAGATCATGATACAACAACTATCAACAACTATAATAAATGCAAAATGCGTTTTTATTATAATATGCTTATATAGACGATGTGCTCTGCAAATATAACGCATACGTTATCATGGAAGATACAAATGTTCTTTTTCTTAATATTTTTTTTTTCGTTCACAACCAACGGTTCTCGTTATGTTCTCGTACATTTAGATAAAAGTAAAAATAAAAATAAAAACATGACTTCCGATTGTTAAAATAATAGTCACATACAATATCGCGTATGATACGAGTATTGTACAGATATTTGACTCGATATATTTTGACAGTCAGCACACTTTGTGTTAATTCTGTTACACTTACGCTGTCAGTTTAAACGACGTATTTGGATTAACGTTTATTTAATTCAATGGTCTTTGAAATGACGGAAAATGACACGTTTTATGTAGTCTTAACAACAGTTAAATAATAAATAATCACTAATAAGATTTAGTAATCATGGCCAAATCTAACACAAATTTATTTTTTATAATAATGAATAAAATGAGGGAGTGAGAAATCAAAAATTTGAAAGTTCAAAAATTAGGACTACCCTAATATAGGATATATATATATATATATTACGGCTAAATTCCGAAACATAGCTAAAATGCACATTATTGTGCACTCTAGCCCCACTGGTTGGATAAAGTAAACAATTAACATTTAAAATCATAGTTTTGTACACATTACCCGGCAAAAGCAACTTTAGCCATCGTGTTATGGCATATAAGTTAAAAATTTAATATTAATTAACTAAATTTGATGCAATATTAAATTTGTTTTTACCAGATATTATTAATACTATTTATTATTATTTATTTAAACACGGTAAACTTTGATGACATTTTGAATTGTATAGAACATCGGATGCTTTGCATTTGCAAATTATTTGTCTTGCAATTTGATTTACACGCAACAACGCTGAGTTTATTATTATTTTATTTTTAACTTATATTAATTAATTTTATTAAAATAAAATATAATTATGAATGTATTAATAATATTTTACATTAGCCATAACACGATGACTAAAGGTACTTTAGCCGGGGAATGTGTACAAAACTATGTTTTTGAATGGTAATTGTTTACTTTATCCAATCAGTGTGGATATAGTGCACAATATCCGGATAATGTGCACTTTAGCCATGTTTCGGACTTTAGCCGTAAAATATATATCGCTTGTTTGCTACAACAATGATTTAACACAAAAAATATGATTTTACACAAAACGCATTTGAAAATTTTATTTGCAATGATATGATGGCAACGCAATAACGTCACAACTGCCATCTAGCGGCTAATTTTTGTATATTCACTTATCTCGTTCTTGCAGTATAGACACCGTGCATGTCAATGTTAGCGCTACCGGGTTGATAAATTTTTAAGTTCTTTTATCATCATCTGGTTAATAACTATCATAAAAATAATAATATTCATAATTGAAAATTGAAATTTCCTTTTTGTTTTAATTTCGACGCCTATGATTTAACATTTACCTAACCGTTTTCAATTCATTGATTTTATAAATATTGTAGCAATGAGTAACCGAATTTGCTGTGTAGTTAATTATAATAATACTTATAAAAATAGCAAAAACGTGATATTCTACAGTTTTCCAAACAGACCACATGAAAAAAATTTAAAAGATCGTTGGGTAAAAGCTGTTAAACGATTAGAGCAAGTAAATTATTTTATATTTATTTTAGTTTTATTTATTTATTTTTATATACAAAAAAAAAAAAAAATAATACAGTACCTATTTATTAATGATTTTATGATATTATTTTTAGTAAAACTGATCGGTTATGGCAACCAATGGCTCATAGCTTAGTTTGCAGTGACCACTTCATTGGTAACAGAAGATCTAAAGATCCAAGAAGTCCAGCATATGTCCCATCAGTATTTTCTAAAATTTATAAAAGACAGTCAACTAACAAACAACAACAAAATAATAGATATCAACGAAACCTCCAACGTCAAGATAACAAACAGAGAGTATTTTTAAATTGTCATGTAGTTATACCTCTGACAGTGCATAACCACAAATGTTAAATTACATGAAAAGTATAAGTGTTAGCACTCAGGTTGCATTTGATTTTGATGATACTAAAAATTTTACTTTTGAATGTACATTCAATAAAACAGATTGTAATGTCGTGATACAAGCATGTCTGCCGGTAACTTATAATAACACCTTCCAAAAGCCCAATACAGTTGACATATCATGTGGTCCAGACATATCTTTTGTAAATTTAAATTATTTTAGCGGGTTTCAATCAATTTCAAATTAAATGCAAGTAAAATATATTACAGGTACTACTTTTCAAATATTTAATCTTTTACTCTCTTTGATACCTGACTCATCAAATAGTTCTGTTACTAAGGAAAGTAGATTAATTAATATTTCTTTTAAAAATTTAATTAGGCATAACTTACTCAGCTATTAGTGTATTATTTAATATAAATCGCACAACAATAACTAGAATATTTTATGTCATATTACACTTAGCGAACCAAACAAAACATTTTATTTTTTGGCCCAATAAGAGAACAGTAATTTATACCTTGCCCAAAGCATTTGAACAAAACTATCCCAATTGTTGGTATATTGGCTGTACTGAAATCAAAACTGAGCAGCCAAGCACTGTTGAACAAAGAGTGTACATGTTTTCACGGTACAAAAATGCTTATACTGTTAAAGTGCTAGTAGCTATAAATCTCAGTGGTTTCATCTGTTTTCTATCCAAGTCATATGGTGGTAGAATTAGTGATTCATTTATTACTAATATCAGTGGCTTCTTATCAAAGTTAGAACCAGGAGATGAATTCCTATCAGATAAGGGGTTCCCTGGCATTAAAGTGGCCTTGGAAGGTTCAAAAAAGTATTCTCGTTGTACCACCTATTCTTCATAATGGTCACTTTTCTGAGGAAGAAGTATTAGAAACATATACTGTTGCTAGTGTAAGCATTCACATAGGTTTTTGCAATATTTAAAACATATTTAATTTTAAATAAAATTACTATAAATTTGCTACCATATGTTGATGAAGTAATAAACATTTGTTGTGTGTTGACAAATTTGCAAAACCCTATATTAAATGATAAATAATTATTTCAGTATTCAATTTTCGAACTTTTAATGCATAAAAACAAAATATAATGTAAGCTTAGGTATTTAAATAATAAAAATTAAAAATTATTTACATGCTTTAATAAAATACTATGTACTTTAACAAAACTTTTTATATATTAATTTGACAAAACTTAATATTGATGTTATTTGTTACTGGTTATTATAATATGAATGAATGTATTTTAAAGAAAAAAAAAATGTTATAAATAATTACTTAAAAGTAAAATTTAGCAAATAAAAATTAAAATAAAAGAATTCTAGTTTTGCTATTAATGATTTTAAGAAAGAGACATATCTTTCTAAAGTTACAGTTACAGGTTCAATTTTGTTGTAAACAAATAAATCACATTGTTTTAGCCCTGTAAAGTAAATTAATATCTGGCATTGGGTGAAATATTGATGACTTGGCTTCAGAACTATTTTATTGTTTTCAATAATTAATAATTTAAATATGAAACATGACAAATTCTATTAATACGGTCAATTATTGGTTTAGACTTGCATAATATAGGGAATTTTATTTCTAAAGCTTTTAAATTTTGATTGTTTTGTATTATAATACCATCTGGGCTGGTACAAAGCCATGGTTTTTGAGCATGAATTACATTACCACATTTTAAAACTGTAGAACCAAAAAGTTTAGAATATGACTCTACAGCTTCTTCTTCATACTTTTTTCCCATAAGCAACATTGATTTTACCTTGGTATCCTAAAACTTTTCATTTAATAGAGATGTTGCAAGGTTATTTTGATGTTCAATGGATAAATTCTTACAAGATTTAATTTTATGGGCTTTTGCATTAGTTGATATTCGATAATTTCTAACTTTATGCCATAAACTGTTCTCAGATTGATTTTTAGTTTTATTGAATAATTCTATAAATTCACATTCATTAACTATAATTATTTTTGAATAATATTCATTTTCCATACAATTTAAGGGAAAGAAACATCCAGAATTCAGAATTAATTCATTTTGTTTTATTAATATATCAGATATATATATTTTATTAATGTCATTTTCTACTTGATCTATGATGTATTCTAAACACATTTTGCTCTCTGTGTAGGCCTCATACCTTTGCTCTTCTTCAATCATTTTACTTAAGATACATGGTATTGATAGTATGTTATATTTATTCACTAGAATATCATGACTCACGCATCAGTAACAACATCATTTATAAGTTTTTTTTTTTTTTAAATAGATTTTCATTTGTCTTTCCTTTTTTATACTTCAGTTCACCTAATTTAGAAGGCTTACCCCATTCTTGTTCAAATGTAGTCTTTGATAATCCTTCTTCATTATTAATATAATAAATAGTAGCTGCTATGTGTTTGCACTTTTTTCCAGCAGCAGCTGGACACTGACAAGTACAATCAATTACATTTCTCAAAGGATCAATCTTAGATAAAAGAAAAAAAATAGTAAATGTTAATTTAACTATCCACTGCAATTGAATTTAAAATAAAAGTTACCTCCAATGTCACTTTATAAGGTTGCTATGTAACAGACATTTGTCTAATTGCATAACTAGTTATAAATTAATATCCATTTGGTTGTTGGTTTTCAGTTACTGAATGAACATGTTTGCTTTCATCTAGTTTTAAACCTTTATTATTTTTGAATTTATAACCATAATTAATACTTTGAAATCCACATTTTACAATGATATCAGGTTGTATCATATTTATACAGTAAAAAAAAAAAAATTATTAGCTAACAATCTAACATTTACTATTTAAAAAAATATTTTAATATCTATTTTGTATTATATGATATTTCAATAGGTATTAATAATAATAATATCGATTATTGATAAATATCATAAAAATGATTGATATTAAATAATAATTTTATCTACTTTGTACAAAAATTATCAAATGTATAGACCAAGGAGTATCTAAAAATAGTAATATGTAAATAGTCCATCAAATCTCAATATCCCAATAATAAAAAAAACTTCAGGAGCTTAAAACCAGAGCGCGTTGTTTTCAACCAAATGCACGATGCCTTATAAGAAAAACACCAAAATTATTATTATTTGCAAACACCTTAAAAATGACGATTTTTGTGTTGTCATTATTGTAGCAAACAAGCAATATATATATATATATATATCCTATATTAGGGTAACCCTAATTTTTAAACTTTCGAATTTTTGATTTTTCACTTCCTCATTTTGTTCATCATTATAAAAATACATTTGTGATAAATTTGGCCATGATTACTAACCCCCTTCTCATACCACAAGGTGGCTAAAAAATTGCAAAATAGGGTTAGTTTGTCGTTTTTTTGTATATAATTAATAAACTTATGACTTGAACTTATTGTAAAAATGTACATGACGTAAATTATAAATATTTTTATTTTTAATAAAAAAACATGTCTATACAATTAAAATATCGAATATTTCATATATTTAAAAAAATTAACATTTTTACGGTTTTTAAAGTATATCGAAATAAAAGTTAATAATACGAAAAAATCATTTGTTTTTAGAAAATTTAATTTCTTATTATTCTTACACGAGATATTTTGTCGTATCATCAACCATTATTTTAATATACTTAAAAAAAACCGTAAAAAAGTTAATTTTTTTTAAATAAATTAAATATTCGATATTTTATAATTTTTCATAAAAATTAATATATAAGTATGAAAAATTGTATGGATATGTTTTTTATTAATAATATAAATGTCTATAATTTACATTGAGTACATTTTTAAAATATTTTTAATAGTTTATTGATGACACAAAATGGAAATAAAATTTAAATGAGTAAAAAAAATAAAAAAAGGAAAAAAAGTACAGTTAAAAAATTAAAAGTAAGTAATAAGAGCTTTCAATATATTATTATTTTTTCCTTTTTTGTTTTGGTTCGCTAGATTTTAAATTACCAAAAATTGGCCTTCTTGCACTTTAGGATGGCGGAGAGATTGCGTTCAGTTTATACACTGATTGGGGAGTAGAGCACGTTTTCGACTGACGTCTAAATATCGGACATTCCCGTATACCAACACAAGTAAATTATTTTAATTTTAATCTGAATTCAATGAATTTCGACAATCAAAAATATGCTGTAATACAATAAAATAAATATTCTGATATTTAACTGAATTAATTTTATTTAACTACCCACATTTAATACAATCAACGTGCTTCTTTGAAGTTCAAGATAAGCTTATTACACTATAAATATTCGTCAAAACATTTATTATTAAGTTTTTATCGTATGTTGATTGAAAAAATATTATTAATTAATCGCTTCAATAAATTGTTTTAATTACACAGAAATTATTATTATTTTTTTATTGTAAAGATTATGAAATTAGTCTGATTAGGTACATATCTTTATTTATATTTTTTTATACTGCATATTTTTTGGTATGATTTTATTGATTATTAAATAAAAGTTTGGTTTGTTAGAAACAATTTTTCAATTTGTATTTTAATAATAATAATAATATAATAATCTTATAAACATATTAATTTCAATGAATATCTTATGGATATCCATTACACATTACAATTATTAGATTAATGATACTGATGCTGAACTAAATGTAATGGATATTATACCATAATTAATTTATCCCTGATATCTAATGGATGTCCAAAGACTAATAAAAAGACAGCTGATTAGATAACTAGTAAATTTATTATAGACATACAGTTATGTCTTATATATGTTATAGATCTATATGGGAGTTTACCAATTGCGCTCAAAACATTTCAAAACTTATTATTTAGGTATAGTTATATAATATATGAATACACAAACCAATTTTTGTTCAATTATAAATAATTAATTTAATATATATAAATGAATAATTTTTTTTCTTCACATTTAAAAAGTTACTTTTTGATCATAAATTATTCAAAATTAAGTTATAATTATAAGTATAATAAAAATAAACAATACATTAACTGATATATTTTTGCGACTATTAATACATAATATAATGTAAATAAATTCAATTTTAATGTTATACTAGTTACATTATAATTCACATTTAAATATTTTTACAATATTTTCATGTCTGAAGGTAGACAAATTTGAGTAGTGCAATTGGTATATTGACTGTAAAATATATGGATCGCGATTGATACATTCGTCCTAAACAAAAATTCTTTTTTAAGCGCAATTGGTCCATGCCTATCTATATATCATATCTATTATACATCCTTTCTATGGCATACTATCGGATTTGTGTAAATTATAATATAAGCTCATTGCATGGTATACAGAGCTTGTCATTTATAATTAAAAACCAAAATAGTTGTTGCTTGATTTAAGGGCATATTTACTATTATTTCTTCCATAAATGTATACATCTTAGGTTTATGTTTTTGATAAATATAAAGTAACATAATAAAACATTAGGTATCGGTTTTTACACAAAAAACATTAAAATATGTATTCAATCAATGATAAAGTGTATTCACTACATACTCGTAACATTCAATGTTGTATGGTGAAATGTATAAAATTGTTATTATTCCGTGTTTACATAAAAATTAACCCATATATAATATATACATATATATTACTTATTATTTTTAAAACGATATTACTGTTCCATTTAAAATATAATAAAAAAAGTTTACACTTATACTCATGAAGTTAAAACCGTTTAAGGAAATGATAATAACATTGAGAGTAGTCAATGTTTCACGAAAATAACCACGTTACTGAATACAATTTTCCGATATGGATATAGACTTCGATTTTAATGCATAAATGAGCGAATATATATTATCTAGTTCAGACGGACCGTCAAAAGTTCACGAGACTGGTCTGGTCACCCGACTGGTCAAAATGAGCACCGAAATTTTAGACAGTTATCCCAGAGATTTCAACACCCTCCATAAAGCGTCTAGAAAATAATTAAAAATATTAAAAAAATTTCCTGATGTGTTTCGTCTACGACTTTCTTCGTGATTAACGACCTCGTGAATGTATCCAATCATAATTATTTCATATCCATACAGGTTTTATGTAATGTAAGTTATTATTATAACATTATTCGTTTTATGGTGCTTCAAACACTTTAAACATTTAAGCTTACCTATCGTGTACTATAGTATCGTATACGAGGTAGCCGGGATTTTCAAACGTGATGACAAAAAAATAAAAACAAATGCCATTAACGGATAATATAATATTGGCATATCGTTTATTTAAAGTGTCTATCAACAACAAATAGTTTATGGAATTTTTTTTATGCAAGCGTTCACATCGTATAACTTAACCGATAGTTAACAGCGTAACAACAATAAAGGCGATGGAACATTAATAGCATAACGCGTATATTAAAAGCACAACATAATGGTCCGTACAATGTTACACGTCTTCTCGATACACGCATTCCGTCCTCTCTTTACCCGAATGTTTAAAATACCTGCATAATTCGTGTCGCACACGAACCACGTGAAAACTTCGAAGAAATATCTTTGCGGCAACGGATCGATCGTTTTACGAAGCGCGGGTCCGTTGTTACAATGGAATACCGTAACGGATTCGGTTTTTATTAGTCGGATCGACTCGATAAAAAGTCGCGTTCAACGCGCTTCTCGAAACGATTCGTTAGCACGTCCACAGTACATTCCAGCCGAACGCGATTTCAGTACGTCGAACACGCGACCAGCGACTTAGTTGAATATCAATAGTTTTGACATATTATTATTATTAAAAACGTATCTAATATACTAGTAAATAAAAATAACAATAGAACAATTGCAGGATATATTTTGAATACAATTTTTTCTTTTTCAACATTCGTGCGCTTCACATATCACAGTGTCCTGTCCAATATTATCGGCCCAGTACTGATACTTTGGGTTTGTCATATCTGATTTACACGGACAGTTTGCGAAAAACTGCCATGCGAGTGCAATTCCGACCGTCCAGTCCGCGATAATATTGGACGTACTGAGTGCGAAAGTGTGAAACGGTATCGACAGGTTTAATATTTATTAAGCGTTCGAGGTAGTTTAGTATTGCAAACGGTTGTACATAGTTGTAAACATGTTTAGTGAAAAATATCAACACTTAAAAAACGTTCGTACACACATACTGTTGGAATACAACAAGTTCTCTAGTAACATAAGATTTTTCAGGACCGACGTTTGCAAGCGACGAATTCACAAAGCCTACAACCACATAATAATATTATAGGCTCTGCGAACGTTTTTGGTTGACATAGAAAAATTCGTCCGTATTGTATTGAAATTAAACCCGTAAACGTTCAAGTCGGAGAAAACTACGACCGAAGTGTTCTTGTTCTCTCAAACACGCGAAGCCGTGAGCTGTCCGCAAAATAAAACGTTTGTTCATTAAATGTTTTTTCTTTTTTTCTGACAACGATTTACGGATCAAAGCGATCGCCGAACAAACGTCAGTCCTGCAAATAGTACAATATGTTTGACGAACAAAAACGCGATCGCGTACTAATGTTCAAGATTTACATTTTTTAACTTAACGCGATATTTCTAATAATACCTAATGTACCCTACACTACGCGTTTTGCCTATGACTAATATACACGCATTCGCACACAAAATTGTGCAATGTTTATAAATCAATTTAATATCAAATACGGATAAAAACATCGAATCCGTATGTTTGAAGGATTAAACGCTTTTAAAAAATTTTAGAACGATAGTTAAAAACAATATATGAATATAACAAGCGGCGCACATTAAAGTTTTTCGCGCAGATTCATAAATATAATATAATAATCATATTAATATTAATAATAATAATCATAATAATAATAATAATAGGTAATAATAATAATATTAGTAATAATTAATAACCATAATAATAATAATAATAATAATAATTATTATTATTTCGAAAACTAAATAGGTTAATAGTACGACGGATTCACAAAGTAGTTATGGAAAATCAATGTACTTAATGTCATGGCCGTAACTGGAAAAAAATTTCGGGGGGGGGAGTCTAACATTATTATATAATACAATTTATAGTTAATAAACTATATTCACCGCTAAAATGTTTCTACTTTTGAAAATTTCGGGGGGTACGGACCCCAGGACCCCCCCCCGTTACGGCCTTGCTTAATGCGAACGAGTACAACCCTTCAATGCGTTTGTTCCATGCGTCATGTTGTAAATTGTTCGTCGCTTGAATACAATGTCAGGGCGCGAACGAGATATTGAATGTTTAGATTTTTTTCATTTGTGGTTTTGACGAAATATTTGATGTGCAATTTTGTTCCGTTGCATATTTGTTTCGTTTTCAGCGCATTGGATGTACATAACTCGTTTCAGTCACGGTCCCGGATATGTTTCGCAACGGTCTTCGAAAATTGCATTCCATGTGCGAATTCAACCAGGCCGTATAATATTACGACGTTCGATATTCGCTAATCCCTCGAGAACACGCCAACCCCGTACACATAAGATACAAAATCGTATCATATTTTTTATATTATTATTATTTTTATTATTATTATTGCTATAAATAGTATTGCCAAAAATACCTCTAATCTACGGTGCACGCGAATACGACAACAGTATGTTGATTCGATAAATATACGTACTCTAACTATCGACGTGCTATGCCTATACGTAAACAAAACGAATAACAATAAAATACAAAAATAACGATAATAGTATGTCTAGCAAGTAGACCTAATGTATATTTTTTTATTGTCAAACGTCACTCCCCGGTTTAAAGGGCCAGTATTAAGTTATCAATTAAAATGTTTAAATTATTATTATTATCATTTTTTTTTTTTTTTTTTTTTTTTACAAAACGAAAACTATTGTTATTTGTAAACTGTTACACACATTAACTTAAGAGTTAATTATTTTAATCTTATATGTTAAACAATTAATATTAAATTAAACTATGACGTGTTGTACGAATACGCGTAATTGATGGATTAGCATATTCACGTGACAACACGCTTAATTTAGTATTTATCTAATATTAATTAATTTAGACATTTTAATATTTAATGGAAGACATTGTGATCTTATTGCTTTTCGTATGCTATGTACGATGATGAATAAAATCAGCACCAATGTTACTTATCTTACAATTATAATTATATCTATCGTGCTAATAACCTTGACAATAGAATATTAGTAGTGCATATTATAAATAAAAACTATTAAATTACACCACACTGTCGACTACGTTGAACATTATCTCAGACGACATCAATTATTACAATTATCGATTTAATACTAAACTTATACAAGGGTAACACAAAATCAGTCTTCGAAATATATTGTTATTTAAACACTAAGGAATGGTCGACGGGCCTTTACATTTATTTTCTTTTTGTAATTTTTTTTTTTATCTTTACAGCGGCGCCCGCGCGACCATCATCGATCTACACTCTAAACTTAAAGTTAGTCATATGTTTTAACATCATGTTATTCTTGGTTGAATTATCGTTTATGGGAAATTACAATCTAGATATTATAGCCGTTTAAACAAGCGTTCAATGATAAAAAAAACAATGTAAAAACGTAACGTATGTCATCGTCGGGTGCATTTGAAGTGTGTCAGGTTCGGTGTCACGCGAGATTGTACGAGGATAAAAAACCGTACTGAATGAACGGCCAGTTTGCAAAGGCAATTGATAAAAGATCCGCAAAGTGGTAACGATCAGCGGACCAAGCGCCTGACGTCCGCGCGTAACTGTCGTCTCCGATCCATTTAAATCTGATGATTTTATCCTTGGTTCGTGCGTAACACCACCTGAAACGTGAAATATTTATTTTATCATTTACATTGTTAACAGTTAGCGGAGAGTACAGAGAGTTCTGAATCAGAGTACGCGGTACAGAAGCAATTCTAAAAGAACGAAAACTATTTTAAACCATATTTTTTAACTTAAAACGCGATCGATCGAAGAATCATCTAGATTAAGTTCATTATTGGAGCATGACATAATGTTAACGGAGCTACGTAGAACAAAATGATTACGATTACTAAGACTGTTTATGTGTTGCGTAGAATGGAGACGAGTAAAGCCTATCGGCACGCAGAAGCTCAGGGCGGTTGACAGTTCCTTCTAACAGTTGTGGAACAAGAATATATTATAAATATGGATTAGTTAAAACATCGCGGTTAACGCGTTATCGGCCTTAATCGTTGACGTGGTTAGGATTATTTATTATAATATTACCTGGGAACTGCACATGGAGCCAGGGTGGGCAGCACAGCGTGCTCCGGCGACACGGTCGAAGACATCAGAAAGAATTCTGAAAACAAAAACTCGACGTGAATCATTTATACTTAAATAGCGCACGTATCGTTTGATGTTGTGCATATCGTATTATAGATATATCTCTAAACATTATTATTGATTAAAAATAATTTAAAAATAAAACTGTTCAGTTTATGATCGTCAAGTTATGTAAACGGTTCTCGTCCATTATTTTAGTTACTGCTTTTCAATAAAACGGTTTCTTTTACGAGTGACTATAAAAAGGACCATAAGATACTGAAAAATCAATAGTTAAAGGAATAAATTTTAGCAATGTTTTTTTAGTCAGAAACAAAATAACGATTATAAGTCTACGACATTAATTTTAAATTTCTAAATTCACGTATTTGCTTTTATCAATTTTACACATTTTACATAATTAAAACTCCATATTTCGTGACTTTAATATAGTGTAAATAAATAAATGTATACAGATGTATGAATAAATATTCACTTTGAATAAAAAAAATATGCTTTGAGTATAGATCGTGAAATACACATTATTTGATTTCCAAATTATCTTTCAACAAAAATCCAAGTAAATTTATTTATCGAATAGAAAATTTGTTCTTAAAGCGAAATCCGTCGATAATAATATAAAATATAATAAATAAAACTTGATCTTTAATATTTAATCACGCTATAAAATAATAGCATTATTTAAGAAATAAATAACTAATTATAATTCCAGAAAATGTTATCAATATTTTATTTTATTTTGTTACATATAGTTGTTAACATAAGGGTGCTCTAATAAAAAAACATTGCACATAAAAATTATAAAATAGTATACAACAGAAAGAATTAACATTTTACACAATTTACATTTTATAATTAAATATTAATTATTAGAAGAAAGGTTTCCATATTTGCGAGAGACATTAGACGCCTAATTTATTCATTCCATAGATTCAAGAGTGTATTAAAGGTCAATATTTAAGGGGGGGGGGGGCAAAATAATGTTGTACCCCTATGAATATTGATAAATAAATATGTAAGTAAGAATATAAAAAAAAAATTTTCCTCGCTTCGCTTGGACATTTACTTCTTAAACTTCACATTTTTATTGAGTTTCAATCTTTGTTGAAGACTTGATATACGGTTACAATTATATATTTTTGATAAATAATTAAATTACATTATGTTATAATAAATTCAATGATAATATAATTTAGGTACCTATTTATCCATAATTTATAATTCATATTTTTATATCTGTTTATATGCAAATATATGTAAATTAATATATTATTAATTATTACCTGTATAATATACCTAATATAATATACTACTTTAAATGAAACTATTACTGCTCAATGTTTTTATTGTAATATAGCCATAACTACAATTATTATAAATTGTGGGCGCGAAACGCCACTTTAATTATTATATTTTTTGAGCGCCAATCGCTATCTTTATATTTATTATTGTTTCAAGTGCCGTGTTGTGTCGCCGTTTTATTTTTCATATTTGTATTTGTATTTGTATTTTTATTATTGTAATTTTTGTGTGAAACACATATAGCTCTTTAGTTAGTTTAGTTAAACAAATTAGATCTGCATACTGAACTTAAATATAATGAGTTAACTTAATATAAATATACACTGGAGGTGATATATATGCAGATTGTATTAAAATATATTTAGTAAATTATATTATGATTATAATATGAATTAAGTCTATTATAATGGATAAGGTACTAAATAAAAATAATCAAAACAATTAATTAAAATCTATGATACATTTTAGTTTTAATATTTGAGTTATATTTTTGTATAACGACTAATCGCATATGAATACTAACTTTTTCAATAAAAATAATTAAACACGATATCATCATTACCAAAAATGTATTTAATTACCTATATTTATACGCTTAATTCTTGTATGTGTATACTAAACATTTTTATAAGACATAACTGTAATGTTTTCAGGCATTACGTTTAATCTTACTTTATTCTACTTTATTATCTTACTTTACTCGTATTGAAATAAACATGTTTTTTAGCTTTTAATTTTTATTTACAGTTAATATTTTTCTATAATAAAGTAAAATTATAAGGTATCTAAGGTATCAAGTGCAATTTATTTATTTTAATTTTCTTATTGATACAGCTTCTTTCTTATTTTTTTTTTTTTTAGCATATTTTCTGTTCTATTACAATGTATTATAATATAATGGGGCTGTTTAAAAAAAAAATCGTACAATATGGAAAACTACTCTTTATCTTTCTCTCCCTCCCCTCTTTCTCATACACACTACTCAATAACTCACTCACTATGTATACATAAAGCAAAGTATTAGTTCCCTCACGTGTTAAACAGATCCATTAAAAGCTTAAACCACGGACGCCAATGTATGTGGAGGGACCAAATCTAAAATTAACCCTAACCCCTAATTCGACACCACATCAAGTGCGAACCCCTTGTTAAAAAGTTTTCATATAGCTGCGAAATCCACTTAGTGGTCTCTTAAAATTCAATTTAATAATGTTACAGGAAAATCAATGAAATATTATTTCAAATACTAGATTCGAATAAATAGTTTAGAAATGTGGTAGAGTATCGAATTATTGTTGTATTCATTTCTAAATCAATCACGTACTCATTTCAATTATGCATGTTATGAATGGAATTCAGTTTTCGTTGATTAAAAAATATGAAGTACATGCATATCGACACCCTATGTTTCGAGACCCTAGTTGGAATGACTTGTGAAAAGTATTTTTTCTGGGATTGAAAATATTCAAATTAGGCATGGAAATATTTCTAGTACAATAATTTATTATAAATTTAACATTCATATAATCCGGTGTACTGCAGTACATTTTTATGTTGTTATAAATTCAAATAAAAATACAGATTTATTTAATTTGATTAGTTATTAAACATAAATTAAAATAATTTTAAAAATCATTATTTATTTTGTACCAAAATCCGTTTTGAATCTATACAAATATATTGAAACAATATATATTTATAAAATTGGCGAACCATAAATAATTATTGAATAATCTAGAAACAACTATGAAAGTTTCTTAAATATTTTTACATATTTTTTATAGTATAGTTGAAATTTTAAGTCAATTAATACTTTGATTAATTAATAATATGATTTAAATCGAAAGATTAATTTAGAATAAACATCAATATTTATAAAATTTGTCAATTATTTCATAAGAATATATTATTATATTATTCTGGAATTCAATGTAAAATACATTAATTTAATGAAAAAACAATGAATAGTTATTATTTACATACATTGATATTTAATATTTACATTTTTTAAAAACCTAGACATTTTAATAAATACTGGCTCGTTAATTCTGTGGGAATATCAACGCGTTTCAAATAGTTTAATATTTTGTATATTGTGAAATAATTCAAATTTTATAATCAGTAAAAATTAAAAATAAAAAAATGTACGCCAAGTCACGCATATGTATTTAATTGATATTTTTCTATTTATTGTAACTGTAAAATATGCATTAAAATATGGTAATGTATTATGTATTGCACCACATTCAAAGTTTTGTATTACCCCGAGTTTATCTAAAATGTATGTAAATTATTTAAATGACAAATTATTCATCGTTACGTGTCTATTTTAGGGCCAGAAAAATGCGAATCCATATAGTACTTTTTTCTCTTCATCTTAGAGCATATTATACAGTGGTCGCCGTTTATAGTGTTCACCGGACATAAGAATCAGCAACTTATAGTGATAAAATAATGCCAGGAACAACCGTCGTCAGTACATTATTCGCCGCTTATTGTGTTCAGGTTTTCGGTTAAAGTCATCAGAAATATAATTTATATTAATATTAGGTCTTTTTGTGTACACATAGGAGGGAAAAGGACTAGGAACGACAGTTAAGAACGTTACCATCCTAATCTTATCTAATGTAACCCACGTAATGAGCCATATCTTATATGATACATATTTAAACCGTTTATATTCTCATAAACACCGATATGTAAACCTTATACGTAGTTTGTTTTCGTCCGCTGTTTAATGTACTGTGTGTGTAAAGTGTAATGTAATATTTGTATAATGTGTAGTATACTGTATTATGGCTAAGAGAAGTGCACTTTCATTAAGTGAAAAAATGTAAATAGACTACTTTAGCAATACAAATGCTTGGATGATATTTTTTAATTTTTTAAATAATTTGAAAAAATGGGATTCAACACTTGACCACAACAATGTGGTTGATTTTAATTTTCTAATTTTAGACAATTATATAGTGCAACCCAACTTTTCCTTCAAGAACATTGAACTGGTATTTCTTCCTTCCAATACAGCATCTCTAATTTAGCCCCTTGGTGAGGGTATAGTTAAAGCTTCCAAGACTTTTTACAGGACCGATACGAGAAGGAAAATTATTGACGTGATCGATGACGAAGAAATGCTAAAAACATGGCAATGCTACGAGCAATTCAAATGTTACACAGTGCTTGTATAAAAGTTACAACTCCATGTATAGTGAATTACATAAAAAAATATATTATGGTTTCTATAACCACCAACGAAACTCTTGGACTCTATTTACCCGATGTACCAGTAAATGTTTCAGGACTTTAAATAAACACAGAAACCTTAAAATAATGTATTAATAAATACAACGAGAAGAGCTTTAGAAGAGCATGATATAGATCCAGATGACTTTGCTACGTATAACAACTTAGAGCGCATTATGATGTTATCTATGCTAAAAAAAACAGGGGAACATGATCAACTTTTTTGAAAAAACTTAATTTTTAAATTACTAATGTATGTGAAAAAAAAAATGTATACCCTTTATTCTTTTTTCTTAGACCAAATATTGGAGTCAATCAATGTACGAAAGTATTTGTTTAGGTAACTATTTGAATAATAGATAAAATATGATTGGTTTTAACAGGTATTCTCGATGTATTCCTGTTGAGTCATGATCCGTTATACGTTTATAAGATTCGAAATCTAACAAAATCCATTGGTAAAGACCTGTCAAAGTATATTTTATCACCGAAATCGTAAGAATACCTTAACAAAGCTGTTGCTAACGATTTATATTTATGTAGCACAAGAAGTTGAGAAAATGTCAATCATTTTTTTTCTTCGATACGATATCGTGATGATACAATACAGCAACCGATGTCTTCTTTATGATTACAATAGAAAAACGAAGGGAGGATTGTACAACATTCGAGACAACAAACAAACATGACAACTGAACGTAGGTATACAATCGAATTGGAAAATATCTGTGTATAGCATTTGAGTACATTGTGCAAACAATCGATATCATTCTACAAACAATGCATTATTTCCGTGATTCCCGTTTTCGAGTGAAGTAATTCTTCACTCTCTACCAAAACGAAACCACACAAAATGCGATCGATTCTGTTTCTGCACCAGAAATATAATAATAATTTATCACAAGAATACAATATTTAAAATTTGTTTTATCATGTTTTTTTATACAACTACACATTTTACTGAAACAGTGGCATATACGAGGGGTGTAGGTGTCAGATCCTCCTAGGCCTTTTTTTTAAATATTATACAATAATGTTTTTAGTGTGAGGGACTTAGGAAATGTAAAAAAAAAAAAAAAAAATTAAAAAAATGATTTGTTTGCGAATTCCCTCCCCCCCTACAAAGTTATGTATACGCCACTGTACTTAAAGTATATAAAAAGGTCAAATATTAAACTAATTATCTTATTTTAAAAGATTTTACTTACGTTCATGTTGTTCTCATATTGTGAAGACTCTACCAACCTAAAAAAATTTATAATAACAAATCATTACATTACAAGTTTACGAGTATACTCGATGTCAAATAGATTTATACAGATTTTACATCTCCAAAACATGGTTTCAACATCGACATCACGTTATTGTTGTCGAGTTATTTTAAAATCACTGTTATAGCCGGTTTTTTTAGTATTGTTTACTGAATCAAATTATATTACATGTTACTGACTTGTAAAGAATATTTCAATAACATAAACGTATGACGTTACAATAGTGTTAATATTAAAACCACTATTTTGGAGACATGAGATCCCGTACGAAATACGTTTTTGTTTTACAAACAGACAGAGACGAGCGATTCCCTCCTTTTGGGCACAACAACAAATCGGTGGCCATCATCGAAATACTATACCCGTAAGGTACGTTCTTAAGAACAATTTTTCAACACTTTGTAGACGGTCCCTGTAGAACTGCGCACTCGATTGCGCAACGGAACAGAATCGTGTCGTCGTTGAACGTGTTTGCAAAGCAGCCCCGCGATAAACCGACAAAACCGAAACACGGACATTTTACGGTGCGACAACGCGAATAGTGATGCTGTGAAAAAAAAATAACGTACAGCGAACGAAATCGATCGTAGCGACGGCAGAACGATATTTTTTCGGGGCTGTTTGGGCGATAAACGCGTTTTACCACGCGGACCCGGAACAATATGTTTCAGCCGGGACGACGCGCATGACGTTATCGCGTCCGTCAGTGCTTCTCAAACGATGGGAGGGGGCGTCGCCCTCTAAGGGATCGTGCCCATACAAATGGACGGCCGTTACGTTTTAACCGTTTGGTCATTTGGGCACTACGTGTTACATAAATGTAACTTTTTTTATCGAAACCAAAACGAAAAACATTAAATCACTACCGTACACGGCAAATCCATTCGATCTCGGACGATAGACTTGGCGAGCGGCGTAGGAGCGCGCGTCTGGCGGCGGTGGGCGCCGGCTGCACACTCGGCGCGCGACAGCCGTTCCGGCGGAGGGTCGGCAGCGGCCACCAGGGCGAAGCGGGCGCGCGCGATGGGAAGTCCGTGAGGGGGCCGGCGCGCGTTCCCGTGACAACGGCGTCCGGATGGGCGGCGCGACGACTTCCGGTGGCGGGCCGATGCGAAAGCTGCGGGAGGACTTCCATGGCGGTGTACGACGAGCTGACGCAGCTGCGGCAACTTCACGTAGTTTCGGCGAAAAGTTACCATCTCCCACCTCTCCCCGCACAATAGGGAAACGGACGGGACGGGACGGGACGGAGGAACGTCGTCGGAGCCTGGTAGTTGGGAGATAAAGGAAGTTTTGCGCGATCCGCGTGCAAAGGACGTACAAGGGAAAACGTTAGACCGTACGTGTTTCAAGATCCTTTACCCTGCACTCGCTCTCTCCATGCCGAGGATACAAAGGTCACCACAACCAACTCGAGTCAAATGTTTGCAATTCTTCTCACGCGCATTTAACACGAAATCGGTTTGAATTTGTGCGAGTCCGAAACGTCTCATCGTGATATGTCGAAATACGTATAAAGAAAAAAAAAACGGTGAAACAATGCAATGTGGTCAACCGCAGAATACGTACGCTCTCTAGGATGATAAACTTTTTGTGAACAATAAAATCGTAAAAATTGTTTTTACTTTAAATCTTAACTATTTAGGCACGGCGTTTTGCATAGGCAATCAAAGAACATTACTTTAAAAGCATAAATGGACAATGGTGCGCGCTCGTGAGAAAGTAACGTATAACACTTTTTTAAAACTCAACTTACCGGGTGAAAACATTTTGTTATGCGTGTTGACCGGTAAACGCTTCTATTAACTAAACGACACATAATAATAGGTTAATAATCAAATAACAAAAACACAATTCCTCGGTTAATGATGATATGAACATAAAAATCCATTCTAAACATAACATGAGTAATATTTTCAATGAAGTAGAGATAAATGCGTGATTGATATAGGATTGATACGTTATGAATGTAAATTTAAACGATCAAGTAAATAAATATTACCATCTTAAAAACAAATTTTCCAAAATAAAACGTTTTGTTCAGTGTGTATCAAACACATTTTTATTATTGAATGAAATGCATGTGCTCTTCATATTTATTCGTTGATTGGTGATTATTTAAAACTTATTAACTTGAGCAATTAAAAAAAAAAAAAAAAACCAAAAGATATTTTTCTGAAATATATCCTTGAGTAGTGTTTGAAAATTTCATGAAATATAAAGTTGTGAAATATTTCAGTATTTTAAATAAAAAATTGTTTTTCTTTTATATATGTTTAAATTTTATGTATATTTCACATTTTTTAGGTAGAACAAATTAATAAGACCCATAATTGATTGTTTCCTTTGGTATTACACATTTATAGTATTTAAAATTTTTGTGGAACAAAAAAAAAAAATTTAATAAGAATATAGTTTAGTTATTATATTTAGGATATACATTCGGACTATAGACTTCATAAAGACATCTTTAATGTTTTTAGGGCATTTACAACAATCTAAAATGTGGTTTAGTTGACGAGTTTCATTTTTTACTGTTGTCCAATTGCAGTAATTACACGAATTTTTAATTATGGTTTTATTACGTTTTTTCACTATACTCTCTAAACACTATGTAATTTTGAACTATGTTTGCCCATGTTCAATATTATACAAAGGTATTCGATACACGTATAAACGTTTGAACAGAAATGAGTAGAGATTAATAATAATATTATATTAAATTTGTAAGTATTAACGAATATTTACATAATATAATAGTAATAATCGTATGAAAATAACTCATATACAATTTTCTTGATATGAACTTTATAACGATTACGATAGTAAAATATATTGACCGTCAATAACAGTTATACGTAATACGTATGCCTACACATTGATACACTTATATTATCATATAAATTTGTAAATATCCTTATATTTAGTCACGAACCAAGACCTAAAACGGGCATTATTGTCGTCAATGATAAACTGAAATACAGGGAAATTAAACCAAGTTTCGTTATAAACGTTATAATAGCCCTATGGAGCATTATCTTTTCAAAGAACTAAATACACAACAACAATAATTAAAAATAAATTCAATGTTTCACATTTTTGTGAAATACTTCACTGTGTACTAAAATATTTCAAAATGAAACCCTACCCGTGAGCATTTCTGTTTCTTTTATATGTGAAAAATGTATTTTTAATTTATAATCTGGACTAAATAGTTTCTAATAAATATTATTTAATGAATACATGATAACCCAGCATGGTTTCTAGATAGAAATATCTCCGTAAAAATAAATTTTTTTTTGTTTTAATGCAAATTTTATTTTAAGAAGTCAAATGAGAAATTTAACAAATTTGTATTTACATTGTCATTTATCCGGTGTAGAAAAATAAATTTTACAATTTTAATTTTTCATTGTTTTAGCTAACGTAAGTTTTTGAATGTCGAAACGCGTATAGTTGTAAATTAGGTTGGATATGGCAATAAATTAGTATAAATTAGATAACTGTTATCTTTTCCTTGTCACATTGATGGATTTGTGTACTTTACTAGTACGGATTCAGCAGTGTCTTGCTAACGCCGTGATGAATTAATGCAGGTATATTAAATACAGTTTTCGTTGTTATAATGGTTTTCTTAATCAGACTAATTTATTACGTAAGCCATACATTACACCTTACCGTATACGCTTTCCATTTTCAAAATTTACATTAGCTGCAAATGTGAAACCAATTATTGAATTTTCTATTATATATTTTAAAGCTTTCCCAACAATTCGTTTTATAAAATGGCAATTGTGGAATTCTATAAAAATTCAACACTTATTTTTTATACCCAGTTAAAGGAACGAATAAACGAATATGACATTATGTTTTTGATATAGCTTCCTCTACTTCAAATTGTACTAGAAAAATTATTTTTTAAATAAAAGTTTATGGAGATATTTCTAACGTGAAAGTATTCTAGGCCATCCCTTTGATAAAGTACGCATATGTTACATAAACACATATACGCATAACCAAAGCGGATACAAAATGTCTTAATATAACAGTCACACTTTAATACTGATTTTGACAAAAACAAAACCGATGTTAAAAAAAAAATCAATACTTAACTGTTCACTCCGAAGCACAACAATCGTTCAACGAGCATCTACATAATTTCCGACAAAGGCTGGTAAAATGTGTCAATATTCGTAGTACGAAACGCGTGAATTCGTGTCGAACAAATGTTGGGTATTAGTTTTCTCTTTTCCTTATTTTCCTCCCAGCTGTCGAGCGCGTTCAAGAATTCGACACAATATGCGCATTAGGGTGATCCTTAAAATCGAAGATCAAAATTTAAACTGCGCCACCTTTTAATTTGAAACCAAACCATAGAAAAATAATATTTGTGTAATTTTATAACGATATTACAACCCTAAAATATGCCTCAAGAGAGTTGAAATTTCTTTTAAGATGGCGTATTTTCGTTTTTTTCATGTACCTCAAAATTTTTTGTAATTAATAAAAAAAAGTGTACATCGTATTATTTGTACACAATGAATTTATTTAAAAAAAAAACATATCGTGGAGAAAAATTGTACAACTTAAGAAGTATATTATTTAAATTAGAACTTATAATCTAAAATTTTAAATTGTATCAAATTATCAAATTTGTTTTGAAAGTATACTTCGTTTTGCGTCAGGATACTTATGCCGATAGTCGTAAACTGTATGCATCAAAAATTGTTTTTGTTCCTCGTCTTAAGTAATTTTGTCATTGAAATCAGTTATTAATTTCACTCCCCTCTCAGCTGCATCATTTACAACTTTAACTTGACTAAGTACAGATATACCTTTTTGATAGTTGACATTTTTTGTATCATTTTTGATACCATTCTTCTGGCTTTTTGTTAAGGAAATTTGTAGCAATGTTAAACCTTTCAAAAAATTTCATCGATGAACTGTTGATAAAATTAGAAATTTGTGAATTTTTTAGCAATGTTAAATTATTTATCGGTGTAACATAACATTTAATAATATTTTTATTTTCATCTTTAATTTTAAGTTAATCTATCATTTTTATTTTCATTGGCAAAGGAATATTTGAATCAAAATATTAAAATGCCGCTGCTTCAGGATTTAGATACCACAAATAACTACAACATTTTTTCAATGCAATATTTGATATTTGTTCATCAATATTTTCATAATTAATCATACTCTGAACGAATAAAATATTTTGGTATAGGGCTTCAATTGCAACATGTGAACGAAACCATTTTTCAATGTAAACAGATATAATAAAAAATACAAGTATCGTGACACGCGTTTTCTTGTGTTTTGGTCATATAAAATTGTTTTCTAAATATATATATTTTTAAGTAATATATTGCTTTAGACATCCATCGAGCGTTATGAGATGCTCCAAAAACTCGAAATGATTTACCGCGATGTGGAATTCCACCAAGAAAAATTTTAAACAGTTATAACAACTCTCTGTAATCCTCTCTAAACTGTTTTTCTTTAGAATGAGTTAAGGCAAAATCAAGTACACGTTGTTGGACATTATGGCATAATATTAGGCTAACATCATCATTTTTTTATTCCTGAATTAAATTTTACAGTATCTATTTTACTCCAGTTGTCTTGACATTTTTTTAAAAGTTGTATGTTGGGCCCAGAGGTGGAACCAAATTTCTCTTTGAAAAAACTTCTTAAAACTAGATAATAAATATGATGTCGACAAAGTAAGTACAATAAATATTTTTCAAGACGTTTTTCTAATAATACGCATGCGCCTTTTAATCTACCAGTGTTTGAAGCTATAGTATCACAGCAAACAGCTATAACTGAATTATTAAGATAATAGGTAATAATAATAATAACAACAGAAGAGCAAAATATTTGTTACGTGCATTTTTTAATAACTTGCAATAATTATTGTGGTATGAGAATTTTACAAAAATCCACCCTCCTGAATGAAATTTCAACTCTTTTGAAGCACATCTTAAAGTTGAGGTAATTAAATCAAATTTTCAACTCATTATTATTTTATACAATTAACGAAATTGTAAGATGACACATTCAAAATTTGTAAAAAATAATTTTATCTATAAATAAGGACCACCCTAATGCGCATATTATATGCTGTATAAAACGTGTGCAAAAGTTACGCGACAAAAATTTAGAAACCATTACGCAGTGCTATACCTAATCCCATGATCTGATTTAGGCATTTCAAATCCATTTTAAAATATCTTTTATAATATATTGCTTTATTTATTTTAAACGACATTTTAAAAGTTGTATACTGAAAAAAAAATCATATGAATTCAAGGCCCCCCTCATAACAATAATTATAAGAATCATAACAATATTATATTAATATATTTGGTTCTGTTGCGAATTTAAACCATCAACTTATAAGCTATTATTCTATTCGATGAATCAACGGCCAGTACATTTATATTAGATCCATCACATTCATATTATCGTTTATATCGTCTTGTCGTTTGTCGGTTTTCGTCATTTTTATTTCTGTATTTTCGTCCGTTTTATCTTTTCTTCGATCATCCGAAACAGGTTTTTCTTTTTTTTTTTTTTTTTTGATTTCCTGTCAAAACTTGCTGCTGACATTTTTATTTGATAGACGATGTGCCATAAAAATATTGATTAAGACTAGTAGAGAAAAATGGGAGACGAAATTCCCAGGTCAGATAAGACTCCATGGTCGGGTGAGATACAGGGATGGGTAAATGACATTACTATACTTGACTTTTAAACTAAAATCCACTGCAACATTTCTCACGAAAAATGATTCTAATTGAAAGAAATCAAGTAAATCAGTTTGGATGGTTGGTATAAAGTAGAACCAAATTTCACAATAAGGTTGAAAATGTATTGTTCTAACATTCGTAAAAATAAGAGATACCTACCATTTGGAAAAATTAAAAATTCCAAGTGTGAATAAACAGAATAAACTTTATTAAAATAATTAAAAACTATGAAATGTCTCTAACTAAATAAACAATGTAGCTGGAAATTCGTTGAAATATCTGATTTTATCAAAATTTAATTTTGTGAGGTTTATAAAACATATTTGCATATTTTCAGTCACATTTTTTTTTTAAAGAAAAAAAATTTTAATGAAAAAAATTGAAGTGCTAAAATACAAAAATCGAACGTTATATAAATTTTGAACTACAAAAATATACTGAATATATTGTGATTTTTATCGTTTTATCAAAATTTAGTTTTCGAACAATCACACATTTCGTTTTTTTTTTAAATTCATAAAAATTATTTTAATAAATCAATGGTAAATATGTATATGGAACTTTTTATTCAAATATCAATATTCTTTCTTATCGTACCAAAATTATTATACCAACATTTTAGATAAATGAGCTGAGATATATCTATAAAAATGTATATTATCTCTAGCAATCGATTACATAAGCACTTAGTGAAAGTTTCAAGTCTTTACAATTATTATTTTTTTGTGTTACGTTGAAAAGAAAAATTCGATTTAGTCGAAATCCAGTGTATCGTAAATCTTACATTTATTTTTTCTACAATTTTTATAAATTCACGAAATTATTAAGAATTATGTCTGGGAAATTTGAAAATATTCTCATTTGATATACCAAATAAATAATATTTCTGATCAGAAATCGCAAATGATTATGTTAGTCGAATCAATATTTCTGATCAGAATTGTGTACATAAATAAAAAAAAACAACACATAAATTATATACATTATATATACATAGTACATATCTTGTTTCACTCAGAATCTGAAACGTGATTTCAATGTTGATATTACTAACTGCACGTCCATTTTGCACAGAAACCAAGGTCACAAAATATCATTTTAATTCTCTTGTGCATTATTTATGAGTAAATATGTACGAATGTGTGTCGTTCTATGCTTATCCCTTATTAATCATGGACTTCTGCTTCAAATTGATTATTTATCTATACAAGGATAATACGAAACAGTATTCATAGCTCACTATTATAAAATACATAATTTGTTAGTCGAATGGAATTTATTTTCAGACCATTATTTACTAAGCGCGTTGCGCTTAAATTATTGATTATTAGAATTGGGTTATTGTTTAAATCATATCCATATTATCACAATATCATTCGTTATGTTATTTAATGAGCTAATCCAGCCTGTATTTAGGGGGGACACGAATAGGCACATGCTCGGGGGTGGCAAAATATTTTAGCAAAATTAATTTTAAAAATGATGTACCTAATGAAAAAAATAAAAATAAAACAATAAAAAAAAAATAGTGTGTTTTACTATGTTTAATTTGTTAATAAGTGTTATATTATTATTTTTTATTTTTTTTGGGGAGGGGGGCATAAATTATATGTCCGGGGGTGCCAGATTTTTAAATACGGGCCTGGAGCTAATTAATATTAACAATTTAATATTACGCTATATATATATATATACATACGTATTAATATTTTTAAAGTAATTAACCATTGTACATAAGAAATATTCGTTATTTTTGTACTAAAACGTTTTTAAAACATAAAACTATACCTGATATTCTTTAATTTTTCATATTATAACTGCATTACAGTTTTTCATTATTTAATTTTTAAATCTAAATATAGTTATATACTGTTTTCTTTTATAAATTAATAGACGAATTGACATTTCCAGAAGTGAAGTTAAACTTTATAACATTTTTCCGAAAAAATATAATAATTTTATAAAAATGTTTGGATACAAAACTAGAAAAAAGTTTGGTTGTGTGTTTTTTAAATAACAATGATTAATAAATTATATTACAAATTAAATGTTTGAATCGAGAATTAGAAGAAATGTAAATTTTTATTTATTTTTAGATTACTCTTTTGTATTTTCTAATACTTCAAATACGAAGAGGGCCAGTCTAGAATCATTACTATTTATAGCTTTGTTTTGTAAACATATTCTAAGAACATTATTCTTACTTAAATGACAGTGATGATGTCTAGAACAGCAGTATTGCTTGTTTAATTAAATTAATTCTATTCGAAGAGCATTATGACACAGCGATTGTTTTACAAAAACACAACTATAATAGTTCATAGATTTAAGAAAAATAAAAGAAAACAAAAATCTTATCAAAAGAATAAGAAGTAGAGAAGGGTATAAAGTGATAAATGAGTTAAGATTAAACAGGCAATGTAATTCCTGGAATTACAGAAATGATTAAAGAATAATTCGTGCACTTTTTTTTGCTAAAGAGTTTTTTCAAGCACTTTTGTGATTTCGGTATTTAAATCATTTTATTTTAATATAAAAAATGTAATAGTTTCAGTATCAGAAAAATAATAGAATAACTTTTTATATGGGTTATTTTAAAATTATGTAAAAAACGTAAATGATGTTTGAATAATTCAATTTAATTACATATATGTCACAATAATCAATAATGCTGGTTTTATAAACTGTAACCTAAAGCAAAACATAATATTAACACCTCTAAAAATTACCAATAAAAAACCGCATAAAATAAGTTAAAATACGTATTGTTGAATGTAAGTTCAAGGCATAATAGATAAAATTAAATAACCACACAATCACAATATAAAGAAATTTATTCATATGTTATGGATATTTTTATTTTCAATAATAAACTTAAAACTGAAAGAACAATGAAAATAATTCACGGTTTATTTAATCTTCCCTTTTTTTTAAATTCAATCGTCAATATAATTTAGGTAATTAGTTTCAGTTTACTGAAACTGCATTCATAAGTTACTGATATTAAAGGTAAAGTAAGAAATATATTGTTATAAAAAAAAAAAAAAAATTGGAGGAAAAAGAAAATATAAAAAATAATAAAATAAGGGAATAAAAGTAGATATGGAATGCATTATCTTCCTTTTTATTTAAATGAGGACATTTAGGGTTACAAAGGTTTGACCTAATTAAATCGGTTTAGTCCGTGTGCTCAAGAGCTTTTTTATATTAAATAGAAAAAAAACGGGTTGGTGTACAGACTGTGCGCAAGCAGTCATGACTTGCAACAAAGAACTCCCTGAAAGGTTCAAGGGACGTATTAACATTGATTAAACATACATATATGTACGTTTAACCAATGGTATTACGTAGGACATTATAGCTGGATGGTTATTTAATCAAAGTCGGTAGTCTTTGAGGATTGACCTATTTAAGATCATAATGGTGTACCAAAAGGTTTGAAACTAATTGTTTAATTTGTTTTTTCTATGCGAATGTCAAAAGAACCGTTTTTTATCAATCACTAAAATGTAACGATCTCGAATGATGATCACATCATTCATATTTGATAATTTTCATATTTTAAAAACAAAAGTTCATATCGTGTTTTTTTTGTTTTTTTTTTTTTTTTTTGTAAATAAATAAATAATCATATTCGGTAGAATATCGATTGATGTTTTTGATCGCATCACACGATCATGTGGACGAATTGCCACACGCGGACGGCATTAGATAGAAAAATGTCAAGATTTTTTCGTAACGAAACATTATTATAGCCATTATAGTAGTTCAGTATAAAGTTTACACTACAATATGTAATGGTTTATACTATAAACCATTACGAATGTTATGAACCCAACAAAACGATATTCCGTACTGCGATGACTAGCGCTTCGGAACGGTGTTGCGCGAGCAAGTTCAATGTTTTCGAACGAAAAATTGCCGTCGCCGAAGCGGTGCGCGCGCGACGAAACCGATTTCGCGGTGGCATTAATGTCCGAACAACCGAACGTCGTCCGGTGCTGTAACGCCGTTTTCACGAAACACGACCAACTGTGAGTGCGTATCGGTTGTGTGCCGCGACCGTGTGTGTACGTCATCGAAGTAGAAAAAAAACCACGGTGGAAAAAAGTAAAAATAAACTGTATCGAAAAAAAATAAAAACGAAATAATCCATAAAGTGTCGTGGAAACGTACGTGTGCGTTCATTTGACGCGAAACAGTCGTCCGAGGACGTGGCCGTTTGCCATCCAAGGCGTTTGCGTTGAAAAAAACGATTGTCGAAACCGGCAGTGACCGTACGTCAACAGCGGTTTTCGCTGTCGACAGTCCTGAACGATATCCATTCCGTCGGCACCACGGTTGTCCGTTAAGTAAGCATAAAACCGTCAAGTAGAATAGTTGTTGCGCGCAGGCCTCCCGTTAGCGCGGCAAGTGTCCATACGGTAGGGGCGGTGAATCTTTTTCGGTTCAAGTGCCAAATTTTTCCTTTTTAGGTATTGAAAATCATTCGCGTGCCCAGAGATGATTATATTTGCCAAGACTATAAACAAAATTACAGATTTATTATACGGTTTTTATTAAATTTTAGTCATTCTTAGTGAAACACAAACAGTGATTGTTTCGTTGGTCAAAACGTTTCTTTCTTCCGATTTAATTCAACGTGTTATAGTGAATAAGCTTTCGCAAACATAAGTTGACGAAAAGTATGAAAGCATAAGGAATATTGTCATTTTTAAAACATATATAATTTATTTATTTGAATTTCTTATACATAGTATATTTTTTTTTTTTTTTGTGTTCGATTTTTAATAATTTATACTTTTTGCGCGTTCCATAGGTTCGCCACCCCTGATCTACAGTCTCGTAGGCAAATGAGGTACCGGGATCGGTTTTCGGGAAAATGTTTCGTCCGCGTGTATGATCTGAAAGCTACGACGAACGTGTGTGTATTGTCGCGCGTTCAACGTTCGTTTTAATCTTCGCTCCATGTTCCGTCTATTCGTCTTTCGTCACCGGCTCTCGGTTTTCGTACCATTTCGAAAGGAATCGCATTTTTCCGATCAAAAACCGAACAGCAAGTAGGTACCGTTATTCGTTCCAGTAGTTAGGTTCCTGATTTAAATTGCACACCAATGGGATCCCGTGTTAAGTTATACCTCACCAATTGGGTCCCAGAAAAACGAAAAAAAATATTTTCCTTCCCACTTTTACAGGCTTAGGGTTGCGTCTGAACATATAATTGTTATATGTTTAAAAAGTTTTTTTTTTTTTGCTATCGTTTACTATAATTTTTACGATTTACAATCGCTCGTTGTCTGGTCGATAATGGTTAATAATTGGGTTGAAATTTATAAAATATAGATTTAACAAAATCCAAGTAATTAATTTTTCCAAAGATTTTTGGACCATAAAACAACAAGTTTTCAATTTACTATCCGCATAAATTGTATTGAGTTTCCGTATCATTTTGTAATTCATTATGCAATTTAGATATACTCTCACAAGGCTGTTCTTGCGTTTTTCTCTTTAATGAGGTCGGCCTGATTAAATTAAAAAAAAAAATTAAATTAAATCGTCAAATTCATGATCGTGTGAGATGTTTTTTTCAATTGTTATATTATATTCATTGTAAATCAGTGTATTTCAACGTACATTATTTGATTGCCAAAAAGTACGTAATTCCCATAATATTCGTATTTTATATTATTACTACGATACGATAAATAACGGACCCAATTCGGACACATAAAATAAACACATATAAAGCGATATGCCCGTACCCGATTCGAATAAAATATAAAACTAAAATTATTTCCGGACCCAACTCGGATGCAACCGACCGTTCGAAATCTCGGCAAACAGCGAGCAAACCACCGGCTGTATGTCGGTGCGTTACTTCGTTCGATTGGACTTAATATACTTATCGACCACACCGTAACAACGTTTGATGTTTGTGTGAAGATATTTCACCAGGAAAAAATTTGCTTTGAAGTATCAAATTGAATATAATTATATACATAGAACAGCATTTAAGGGAGACAATGGTCACAACCACACCGCGCGTTAAATTTTTAAGGTGGTCGAATATTAGTCCACTGAAATATATTTGTATATATTATGAATCATTAAAAATTTTAAAATTTAAATTGATTTACGATATTTTTATTATAATAATCAATGAACTATCAAAATATTTAAAACAACAAAAAAATTATGTTATGGATTTAAGATTTATTTTTATATATAATGTAGTATTAGGTATATGTAATATAATTTACTATATTTACATAGGCGGCAACAATGGGAGTTGAGGGTAAGGACATTATACGAGTAGTTCCTTAAATAAAAAGTTATTATTTAATCAATTTTTTATTTTTACTTTTAAAGTAATTTTTAGTATCTATAATTTCGAAAAAAATTGGGACATATGTTAACATATTTAAAAATTAAGTATAAAGTGACGTTTCATGTAAAAGTTCTTAGTAACATTTATTTGACATATCTTATAAACTTATAATGTATATATTATTTAAATAGATTAAACTATATGTAAATTAATTGTGTAAACTTCACTTTTCTTATGCACGTCGTACTTTTAATGTATTTTTTCAGTATAACAACTGAACGTTTTACAAAACGATTTATCCTTGGACAGATCTAGTTGATTAAAAGCTTCTTTTTTTTTTTTTAATTTTGACAAAAGCCAACTAAAAATAAATATTGTTTGCGGCTGTAGCATAGGTATTAAAATAATAAAGATTGTTCACAATAAAAAAAATATGTAAATACAAGTTTTCTCGAAAATTTTGTATAACATAATTATCGTATTATTTAACCACAGTTTTTTTTTTACCACGTTTCAGTCTTATATTATATATAATTTATGAATATTTATATTTGTGCATGAATTACATGAAACAATGTACCGAAATACAATATTATTGAAGTTTAACGTTAACTTTTATATTAATATTTATAATAAAAATATAATTATAATAAATAAATTACGTATGATAATGACTTTCTAGCATAAATAATGTAGTATTTTACTGTATAATAACTATAGTACAATGTAATAAAATACACTATAAATTACAACCTCTAAACGTATTATAAATACATTTTGTGTTCTTTATTTTTATTTAAATTCTCAACATTAATTTCCATATACTCAATAATGTTAAATTTTAAATTAGATCAAATACCTAATTTATAATACTTATCAAACGATATCATTATTATTTTATTACCATTTGATAAATGTAAATAAACAAATATCAATAAATAACCTATAGTTCAAAGATTAATAATATATATGTATATCTATGTGCTTTGATCGGTGGATTGTTATAAAAGAAACTTAACCTCTTAAACCTTATACCAATATATACATACTTAACAGTTTCAAAAAATGTAAATCTTATTATCTCAGGAAAACGGTTACCCGGTAACCTCTTTATTGATTTTTATTTAAAACATCATAGTTTTGTCTATAATACAGCGTGGATATTTAATATATTGATATTAATCAATATGTAAATTAGTACATATATGTAAATTTTCCCTTGCGAAATTATTATTTTATTCTTTATACTAATTATAGTTCGTATTGTTTTTTAAAAATCTGTAACTAATTACTGTATAGTTTAGTACTTTGTTGTTAAGACATACCGAAAACGAGTATACTCATTCGACCTCTAATTATTACATTATATAGTAATCACCATGAAACCATGATACAGCACAATAACGATCACAATTAATGCCATTTATTTTAGAATTCAAGTACATACTAAAAATACAACATCGATTTGTGGTTTGACTAGATTTACACTATGTACACGAACCATATTGATGAAGTTGCTAACTTTTTATCGACAAATTATGATAATTTAGCACATAGGGTCGATTCAACTCGACGTACTTCAACACCGAAGAAAATATTATCTCACAAAAAATCTTCCGTGGCTTTTCATTTTGTCATTAATTTACTATTCAATATATTATAACTGATTATAATTGATTCATGATTATACAACACACGACATGTAATGTTCACTACGCCATTAAATATATTTTTATCAGATAACTATAATAGAATTGTTACCGATTGGACTAATTTTTTTCGTGCGCACGTTCTTCTTCAAAGTTCATGTTTTACGTATTTTTGTGGTTTGCGCTTTTAATATTAGTTTTCAACTTTATTCTTCGAACTTTAGGATTATAACAACTTATGATGCCAATAGTGTGTTTCTAAAAACCGATATATAAGTTATTTTACTCGAACACGAGATAAAGCAATGTCGATGTATTTGCATTGTTCTATTATATTATGATTTGAAAAGAATTGCTTCCTCGTATGACATCAAATAATCTGTTGCGTACGCTTTCGCTTTTGTTATTCTGGATATAATGTAGGAGCTAACTTCTCCGTCGTACGAAAATCATACAATACACAATTATTATTAAATTAGTTTTCACTATTAGTTTTTCTGATTTATAGACACGAGTCGTAGATCTAAGTGAATTTGTGTTTCGAAAACTAAAGACACGTCATGATGATGCGATTCGAGAAAAAAGGAAGTTTTAATAGTTTTTTTAGACCGAACATTACGCTAAGAGACGGTTTAAGTTGTACGACAAGCCGACACAACGGCTGACTCCTTGGATCGAGTTCCAAGAATTATTGGACCGCGCAGCGTGAAACGTTTTTTACGTTCATTAAACTTTTAACGACGCGTTGAAAACATTAAAGTTCGTCGGCGCGACGACGTAACAATGGCAAAACTTGTAATATTTAAAATTCGCTACGGATATGCTTAGGGGCTACGTACATGCGACCGTTTAAACTTTTGGATTTCTTCGCGTTGAAATCGGAATTGCAAACATTAAACGGATGCAAACGCGGCACTACAACGAACAGAGTGTAAACAAAGTGTAACCTATCAAGCACTCGGCAGATTTAGACCAGTGATTACCCTCGACTTCGCAATGCTTTTGCTTCCGTAACGGCACGAGCAACAATATTAATCATATATTAATGACCACAATAATAATTATCGATCGATTTTTCCAACTATAAATCATTATTTTTATGGCCGTCGCTATAGCTTAATGATTTTTATTTAGTAGATAAACGTTTTACTTATTTATTACCCGTACGTACAGAAATTGAAATTATTTTTATCAATTCATTTACGAGTTCGACTGGTTCATTTTGGTCGCGCGCGCGTATGCGTTTTAAAGTATTTTAAAACAAATTGTATGAAGAAAGTGCAATTTGTTAACTTTAGTTTTTCAAACCGATTTCTAATCATTCTGGTATCCAGTTACGGACGATTTCGACCTCCCAGCGAGGTTAATTGTTTTG